ATCTGGATAGGAAGATGGTGACGGTTTAATATTTTTCCTATAAATAGTTTGGTCTTAACTAAAAGTTAAGAAGGTAATTTTTTTAAATTCGGAGGGTAATGGTTTATTGTGTTTCAACATTAAACGTTAGTGTTTAGATTTAGGTGCGGATATGCACATGATTATTTATATTTTTCATTTCATAATTGTAAAAGGTAGAAATTAAGATTTCACTATATATGCATACCATCTTGTGCAAACGTCCTTCGCCTGGTACCAAGCAATCGATTGACCATGTCATCTGTTATTTTAATATCTTAGCATATTTAGCTATGTAAGTTTATTTATGAATTCATCCGAAGCCATAAGGTAAATTATTTACAAGGTTGTTGAACAATTTAAATATTGTATGTTTTTTTTAAGAGTTTGTTTTTGAACTCTACCTTTTGAGTTTTTTGTTTTTTCTTTTGACAGAGTTGTTTCTTACATGTAATTTTGTAAAATTGTTAATATTAATTGGGATAAATGGTTAATTTTTTATAAAGAATCATAAGTTGAGGTTTGTCTTTTATTTCTTTCCTCATTTACTGGGTTTGCGGGGAAATAGGAACATAGCTTGACCACTGAAGAGACCCAGTTGGCGTCCTTCATTTGTTTACTATTTCCGGAATTTTTAATAACTATCCACCCCTAGTTGCAGTCTGAGCGACATCGAAGGCCTGAATGTTGATACCGGAACAACCGAAACTTGTGTAACCATAGTAGACAAAATTTTATTTATAAAGTTATTTTTTTTATATTTAAAGTTTAATTTTAAGCAATTCCCCTTTGAAAGTTGCTAGGACATATTGGTAGGTTACATATTGTCAAATTTTCTCTACGATTATAAGTTCAGTCACTTTTTACAGTGTAATTTTGTTTTTTTTTGTTATACCCTCTTATTTACAAATGGGTAAGCAATATAATAACAATAGACATCATTGGTGACTGTGTGAACTAAATTATTGATTGTCGGCATCTATCTGGTACAGAACTGCCATCTTATTTTCATACATTTTGGGGACATTTTTTGTAAACAAAGATAGTTCTCCTTACCTCTAGTAAACAGATCCTGAAATATAGATCATTTAATACATTTTTAACTAATAAAGTATCAATAGTAAACAGAAAATTTAACAAACACCTATTGGAGGAAAAAAACACTCCTCCATTAGCAGATGCTTTTGCCGACACAAGTCAATTCAATAACTTTATGTCTGTTTGTCAGAAATACCCCGTTTATCAATATAACTACCAAAGTGTCATTTTAAAACCCGCCATCATCTATCCGTTATTTGTTGAACTACCATCCTTAAACAATACTATATTAAATTCAATTTTTAATAGATTAGGTAGTAGGTTAACTAAAATATTTACAGATGGATCAAGAAGGCAAGGAAGTACAGGATGTGCTTTTTTCGTTCCTTCGTCGAATTACGTCGAACACCATCGTCTTCCGGATTTTTGCTCTATATTTACAGCAGAATGTTTTGCAATAGAACGAGCATTATACTGGTGCGAATTAAATCCAGTAACGAAAGTAGCGATTATCACTGACTCTAAATCCTGTTTACAGGTAATTTCTACTATTGCATATAAATATTACCAAAATTCACTCTTAAATCTCATAAAAAACAGACTTTACACCCTGAAAGCTTCAAATAAAGATATAACTTTTATATGGGCAAAAGGCCATGCAGGTATAGTCGGCAATGAATGTGTAGATTTAGAAGCGAAAAAGGCATGCGATAAGGAATCGTTGACGCAGGTGCCAGTTTATCTAGATTTAGTAAACACATAAAAAAAAAATAAGAAAAAACTGGGAAGCAAATTACAAAAAATACAGCTTCAACTCTAATAATCACTATTTAACTATCCATAAAGAATTGCCTAGGGTAATTCCTCATATTGATATATTTGGATTAAATAAATTCCAGTCTGGGAACATTACAAGGTTGAAATTTAACCATGGGCGCTTCCCTGCCCATTTTTTTAAAATTGGCCTACTGGATTCCCCTATATGTACATGTAATAGTTTCTCCACTGCAGATCTTAATCATATTTTTTTCAATTGTTCAAACAATTATAATTCAATTATCCAATTGTATAAAATGCTCATTAATATAAATATATTCCCGCCCTATAATATTACGTACCTACTTGCTCTTGAAAATAAATCAATTTATACATATCTCACTAAGATCCTATCATCAATTAACCTACTAATATAATTTGTTTTTAAAAATCATTTTAATAAAGTTTTTGTATATATATATTCCTCATTTTGTGGCAAAAAGACTAAGTCTAATGCCATTCTCTCTCTCACACACACACTTACCTCTAAACTTCATATTACATACATACAGTACCTACAGCAACAATTCGCACGCACTCCCACCTTACAAATAGATTTGAGGACATTTAGGGTGTAGAACTAAATTAAATAAAACACATATAGAATGTGAAATGTACATAACTAAATACATTTCATAAAACTACAGATTACAAAATTTTATTTCGCTGAATCTCATAGTATGACCTTTTTTTCTTGTTTTCCCTGTAAGATTTTCTAGAGATAAGGCCGAAAGACATTCTTATTGGGCTAAGGCTAGCCGGTACATACGAAATTTAATTTAATTTATTTTTAAAAATAAAAATATTCCACCTAATCTAAATATAAAATATTCATATTAGTTCTATCTAGGTAGAGATAAGCCCATCATCCAAAACCAAGTAGGTAGTAATTCATACTGAAACGAACCTCCCATTCTGTTACTATTTCCTGCTAGCAGGAACCGAGCTAAGGCTACCACTGGCAGAATACAAAATGAAAATACAATTTATGTGGCACAGAGTCGTTTCGCGTTAAGACTAGAGGGCATATTCGTTTGGTCGAAAAGGGATAAAACCTTTCGGTATATTCCCTTTAAAAATATTGGCCATAAATCGCTCTTGGATGCTAAGCTGGAGTGTTATTATTATGTCAGTTCGGCATGATCTATGCGGACGGACCTTCGTAGGGATGATCCGAGGAATATTATTTCTGTTTTACGTCATATTGTACATGAATAGATATTTGTGGGCTTTGCTTCGGTCTTTGGAAACGCATTAATAGATATCTCAGTGGGTGGTATTACTTGCAATTTTAATGTAAAAATATAAATGATGAACGGTATCCAATTAGTTGCTTGAACGTGGCCATCTTCAATAGTAACCGCTTATTTATGTTATGTTCATCTAAGTGATAAATTTAAAATGCCTTTCAGTTTTGTTTCAACCAAAGAGTACATTAAAGATTAACGATGAAACATATTGACCCCCAGACTTAGCTAAGGTTGCCACTATGTGTAAACACTAGAAATTTATTATCTTTACTCTTCAGGAGAAAACAAACAGAAATTTTAACTACCTATGAATTTAATTTTATATAATATTATTCAAATTAAATAATCGACTTTAAAAATCAACTTAGCTTATTTCTTAATCAAATATCTATCAGTATTCATTTCTTTTATGCATTACATTTATAAATTTTTATCGCTAATAACGTTGTCAACTAACATTGTATAAATAATTACTGATAGTATAGGGACCGTGCGTGAAATATATAGTGGCAGCACTACTGCCGAAGTTCGCCCTCTCTAGTGTTTAATTTTAGATTTAAATGGGGGTAATCATTGCATGTAAAATAATAAAGGATATTTTTTTAAAATATTAAATATAGATGCCCGTAACAATCGTTTACATAGGCAAAATTATTTAAAATGTGAAAAATTAGTAAAATCTTGACATTTATATAAATTTTGAGGAAAAATATTTAAATGGCTAAGAGACAATAAATTGTTAAGTTGTACCTTAAGGGGGGTAAATTTAATTCGTGCAAAAAAAGGCACATTTTTGTAAATTTTTTTAACGACATTAAAATATATTTATTTAAACTAAAGGTACATTAAAGTATAACATGTCAAATTTTCATGTAGAAATATTAAAAAATACGATAGAATTACGGTGCCCCTCCTAACTCGGTGCTGGATCATCAGAAATAAAAAAATATAAGTTATGTATCTCGTTAGATAATGGATTTCCCCAGGTAATTCTGGAAGGGTTTTTTAAAATTTTAATTTTTCACATGCTGCTCCTCTCCATTTTGTTTGCGCGTTAAAACGACCAGAAGCACTTCTTAAATCACCGAAACATTAGCTTTTCGCATTGCTTAAAAAACCCTAGCTATGCCGGCAGAGGAATATCTGAAAGAGTGGAAAAAAGCTTTGAAAATACAAAAAAGTCCACATTAGTAATGCTAAGAAGAAATATTTACTAAAACTTTCTGAAGCAGGTACTATAGCTGATGAAATTCACCATTATTATCACAATCTACCTTCATCCAATAATGTTAAAGACATTCCCTGAACCTTCTACAAAAGCCAGTGACACAGACATTGAATAATATGACCTGCACAGTGCACATGGATTCTTGTGTGCGAACTCGACACGATACTTATCAAATAGAGAGAGACATTACAAAAGAATTGCAGTCTGTCGAAGGAAGATAAACGTCCCAATACGTGCCATATTGAAAGATGAAAATCCCACTACCTACTGTATGTAGACAGCTAAAATAAGCTAAGTGACGTTTTTCCTTTTTTTTTTGTTACCAATCAATATATTAGGTTATATTTTGTAAAGACTAATTATGTTTTAAATTTCCTTTTGTTTTTGTTTTTTTTTTTTCATTGGAGATATCGTTTAAACTTGTTTTTCCAATAACACGATTATATATATATATATATATATGTTATTTATTAGATTCCCACTAACTAATTTTAAATGGATGGCCTAAATAAAGGGTCTTAATCCAAAAATATTGCGGCCCGTGTAACATAGCAAACATATGTTATGTGGCCCAAAGGGAAAAAAGGTTGAGTATGGCTGACCTAGACTTTTTGAACGTCTTTTAACTACTAGCGGGTTGTCTATACTCTTTAAATATATCTTCGTTTTATTATCACTTTTGTTATTTTTAATAAACTGGACAGACCTTCTTCTTTTCCGGCTTTAGACTCTTTGTGAGAATATTGCAATTCTTCCAGGTTTCCACTCTGATTGGTCAGAGGTATATTATGTTGTTTCCTTAAATTGATAAATGTAAATTTTCCAGATCTCTTAAATTGTGAGGTTTATTTTTAATATATAGGGTAGCTCCTTTCAGATGGGTCTTCTGTTTTTCCCTATAGGGTCTATTATTTAAGTGGTGTTTTTCAATTTTTAATTTCCAGTCCTTTAGTTAATTGTCCGATTGTATAACTAAGTAAGTCGTCACCTGTTTTGAATCCTAAATTAAAAATTATATAATTTTTATTAAGTTGTTTAGGTACGTTTTGATATTTTACTTTTTGTTCGTTTGCTTCCTGTTCTATCTGTATCTGTCACGTATCAATGGTGGATTACCCCACGGCATTTAGGCCTCACTAGGCCCATTGTGCATCCTCCCAAGGTGATAGGCACCTTCTAGCTCATAAGCCAGCCTAAATATTTAATGTAGTTGACAACGTCGCCGGTGTTAGCCAATACTCGCCGAACACAAATCTTCTAATAAATGAGAGTATCGGACAATCGTAGAGGATATGCTCGATGGTCTCATCTTCTTGTTCGCACCCCCTGCAGAGTGCGCATTCTGACAACTCCATGATATGGAGATACTTCCGTACTTGGCAATGACCAGTCAGAATACCTATGAGTATTTGTATTTGTTTGTTGTACTGTTGTCAAGATAACTTAAAATCTCCCTGACAGCTCTGCAGTTTCTTGCTTCATACCATCTTTTCTTGAATTTCCCAAGGGAATGTTCTTTAATTAAGTCTGTCACTAGCAATGTCATGAGGCCAATAGAAGGGCCACATCCAAACAATATTTGGTTGGCTGCTTTCTTGGCCAGTGAATTAGCAGGATAGTTATCTTTCGATGTGGCTTAACTTTTTAAGGTGGCCACATTATTGATGGATACTTTGGCCAAAGCTTTGTGACATTCTCATACTAACTCTGAGTAAATTCGTGGTCTGTTCATGGTAAGTAGTGCTTGTCTGCTATCTGTATAGATAAGCATGTTCCTTAAAGTGTTATTGTTTTGGGTAATTTCTTTTGCTACTATGAGAATCCCCGTGAGCTGTTTGAACTACACTGACACTATTTCTCACAGCCCATTTTATGTTTAGGTTTAAGGATTTGGAGTATATTCTCCATTCTAAGCCTTGTGTTTGTTTTAGAACCGTCGGTGTAGATATGAATCATACCTGCCACTTCCGGCTCTTCTATTTGTTCTTTTATAACTTTATATGGCTTATCGAAGATATGTCTCGGTGAGTTTGAGTCCATGTTCGCTGGAAGCAGTGGGATCGTATCGAGCGCCTCCTGCCAAAAGCTACGTCTCACCATACCAGATACTATATGAGGTTTTATTTCAATTGTGCAGAGGCGTATCATTGTCGTCAGAGCAACCTAGTTAATTTAACATCAAGAGGAGTGAGACTAAGAATGACTTTCATGGCTCTGGTCGGTGTGGTTTTCATGGCTCCTGTTATGTTGAGGCATGCTGTTCTTACGAATTTGTTTTAGTTTGCGGATAGCTGTCATTATTTGGGTTTTCGGTACCCAGACAACTGCAGCGTATGTTAGCAGATGTCTTATGATAGCTGTGTAAGACCATGCGACGACTCTGTAGATGCGCCCATGGTTCGGCGGCATTGTTCATAAGCAATGTATACTCTTTTGACTCTCTTTTATAAATGTATGTTCCATGTTAACTTGCTGTCAAAGGTGAGACCTAGGTACTTTACCTCTGTTGCAATGTTTCGTGATTAGGAATTCTGGAGGCTTTAATTCCATGTTTATCTTTTTCCTTGTTGTTACGTTTCAATAATAAACGTTTTATAAAAACAAAATGTTACGTTTCAAAGATATATTATTAAAACATATTTTGCACCACGATAAATTTCTACCCCTTACCTGGGTCTCATTGTAAAAATCCTTATAATAAGAATTCTTACAAGCCTCAGGCCTAGCTCAGATCAAAATAGGTCAGTGGGATTCGTTTAGAATTTACCTTCAAGTCAATGAAAAAGTCTTTAATTAAAAAGACTTAAAAGAATTCAATTAATTTAATTTGGGCGCCATACTTTCAGATGTACAATAAAAGCAAATTTGTCATTAACTTGTCAGTTGAAAGTAAGAAAAAAAACAAAAATTTCAAAACAATTAATCGGCTTTAATTTAAATTTCGAATTTGACTGAGACTGATTACATAATATAAAAGAAAATTAAATTAATTGATTTTAACACATTTTACGGTTTACGTTCTACTAATGATGAGTTTAAAATAAAAATTGACTAGTGACTCAAAAATTGTGTGTGTGGTCCTGGCCGACACTTATCTTGTGTTTACGGATTTAACGGTCGAACTGGTCTGGTCCGTGTCTTAATGGTAGGAGAGCGGTGAGCCTACGATGACTTCAAAACACTGCAGTTCCTTACGCAACTCAGCCCAAGATATTTCGCAGCTCTAGTGGCAACTAGCTGACAATGATTCTGCAGTTCCAGATTACAAAGGACAATTCCTTAGTTTATTACAGATCCAGATCCTTAGTTTGTTACAGATCCAGAGCCAGTTCCTTAATTTTAAGAAAGAAAAAACGTGTCAGTTACAACAAAAAAAACCGTATCTTTCCATTGCTTCAAAAAAAAAACAACACATGTGGTCAGCAATAAAACTTACAATTTAAATTAAACATTCTTAAATTAAACATTTCAAATTTTACAACAATATTAGAGAGTTGCAATAGTATTTAATTTAAAACACATGAAGAATGGAAAGATCTTTTCAAATAACTGAGAAGAAAAAATATAAAATTAATGGCAGCCATTTTGTACATTTTGGAATTTATATTACGCGAAAAGCTCACTATAAATAAAAGAGATAACTCAAAGATAATTTCAGCAGAATATGCACACAATAAAATTAATTTCTACATTTCATTATAAAAAAAAATTCGAGATTACCTTAGTTATTCGGACACACAAAGCACTAAAATCAACCTGTCTATTTCGCAGCCAAATTGAAAAGAAATTTCAAAAGCCAACAGCTGACCGAAGGTGTGTAAAACATGAATATTCCCCATCCATAAGTAAGCCAGGCGTGCGCACGACATCTGACCGTAATTATTGATTTTTAGAGAAAGCGCATCATTGGTAGAATGTCCCAGAGAGAGACAAATTCCCGTTTCAACATAATATCTATATTTCCAAATACGAGGGGCGCTCAAAAAGTATTAGAATATATTGGAATATTTGAACTAATTAAATATTGTAATTATTAAAAGGGAGTTACGATTACAACGTAACATTGTGAAAAGGACCATTTCTGTCTTTTTGGGATTAAAAGACAGTAAATGGTCCTTGTACAACTGTTCTATAATTTTGAAAGCTACTTGCATTTTTTCGCAGAGTATGTTTTAAAAATTCCCTGTTTGCAGAATGACCAGATAATCTGCATACTCTATTTGTGTATTGACTCTCATTATTGAGAAGGCTGATTAAGGTGTTGCGGACCATGTTCCACAGTAGAGGTGATAGCACCCCTCCCTGTGGACATCCCCTCGCAACCACACCTCTTAAATTCACATTTTATGTTTACTGCTCGCTTTGAGAGCATGTTATGTATGCACCCACTAACTATCTGTGGAATATTCCTGTTGGTTATTTAGTATATTGTTATGTGAGCCGTTTCATTTTTCAGTCATGCTCTAATCCTCCAAGTCTTTCTCTGTCTTATTTGGCCTTTGAGGCTCAACTTGTCCGATTATCATACAGTTCATCAAATTTCTAGAGGCTTTCGACGGCTAGACATAGAAAGCACTACTGAGAGGCATCGGTTGGCGGGGCCGACGGATTTACGCAATGAAAGTACACTCTGCGCATCAAGTATTTCACTATTTTATTCAGACGTAAATGTCAGAGGTAAATTTCGCTAAAACATTTCTTTTATTTTCGTTTGTGTTTTTTGCTCATTACAGTTTAATAGAACCTAAGTATGGAGTTTAATAGCAAATTAAGAGGCCGCGTGATTAACAGTCAATCTCGCGAAATAATAGCCAATGTTATAGAGTTTATGAGAAGAGAAGGAAACTTTAATTCACCTTCAATACCATTTCAAAATGTAAATGATCGTGTTGCTGCAGCCACAGGAGTATCTGAAAACACTGTCGTCCGCATTTCTGGAGAGAAAAAAAGAATCGATAACCGTGAGATATCGAAATTTTCATCACCAAGAAAAACCATTAAAAAACCAAAAACAGTTAATGATATAGATGAAGCTGACAAAGGTATTTTAAAAAGAATTATTCTGTTCATGTTAATCTCGGAAAATATTGTTCCAACATTAAAAACATTTCTGACTAAATTTAGAGAAGCTACAGGGTACAAAGGAAGCTATGAAAGTTTAAGAAAAATAATAAAGTCGCTAGGATTTCGTTGGCGGAAAATAAAAACAAACAGAAAAATATTAATGGAAAGGTTTGATATTCAAAAGCTACGTTTAGACTATCTGATTCGTTTAAAAAGTTATCGAGCAGAGGGCCGTCCAATTGTCTACTTAGATGAAACATACATTCATGCCTCCCACACACACCAGAAAGCTTGGAGTGATAATTCAAATGAGGGATTAAAGAAACCAATTAATAAAGGTGATAGACTAATTATTGTCCATGCAGGAGGTGAAATGGGCTTTATTCCGAATGCCCGGTTAATTTTCAAATCTGTAACCAAAAGTGGAGACTACCACGATGAAATGAATTTTAATAATTTTTCTAAATGGTTGAAAGAAAAGCTGTTTCCGAACTTCCCTCCAAGAAGCGTCATTATTGTTGATAATGCTCCTTACCATAATGTCCAGGTAAATAAAGCACCAACATCAACTTCTAAAAAAGCTGACATGCAGGATTGGTTAAGGAATCATAATATTGCTTACGAAGAGGATATGCTCAAAACGCAATTATACAGTTTAGTGCTATTGCATAAGTCACGATTTAAGAGGTATGCAATTGAAGAAATGATAAATGAACATGGTTTTAGTTGTTTGC